CTTCCTTCCTTCCTTCCTTTCTTTCTGTTTAATTCCTGGGTTGATGCTTATAAATTTCTTATGGTTAGTAGCTTTATTGCTAGTATTTAGAACCCTTAGGAAATGACTATTTCTCAGAGATGTCTTCCAAGTGTAGCTGGCTTTTGGGTTTTGAGTCTGTTGCAAGATCCTACATCTTCAATTTGTTGAGGTTGAAAAGTTGCTGCCTATTTTGTCTAGCCCCTACTTCTTTGGGACTGGCCTGTAGTATTGTTTATGACCCTTAGGTAATCTCAGTTTTGGCACACCAGAAAGAACAACCAATTAGAACAACTATGTCACCTTGGTTAAAGTAGTACAATCAGCAAGAACAATACCATCAAATATAGCCTAGAGGGGCTGGGGATTTAGCTCAGTGACACTGTGCCTGCCTCGCAAGTGCAAGGTTCTGAGTTCAATCCCTGGTACCAAAAAAAAAATCCAAATATAGCCTAGAAAGTGACAAACTGTGGTAACTATTAATTTGCCATGTTTAACCATATGAACTAGACTTGTGGTTATAACAAAATCTAAAACAAACCAGAAAACTGTATACAGTAAATATGACCTCAGTATGGCAATTTTAACCTCAGGGAGAAAACTTAAAAGAGGTTAGGTAGAAAGAAATAGAGAAAGAGAAGAAGAGGAAGAGATTACAAACAAGGCTGGAGAACAAAGGAAGATTACACAAACTTTGGAAAACTAGAGGGGATAGGAGGGAAAGAGCAAAGGAAGAAATAAAAACAGGAACAAAACAAGAACAAAAAACTAGAAACAATGTTCACACTTATATAAAAACAAGAAATATCCAGAACAAAACAAACAAAAATAAGAAAAGATAAAAGACAGAGAAAAAGTCCACTTTAAGGTGTGTCTCTACTGTCAGTGGTAAACAAAATGAGCAGAGTCCAGATCCATGTTGATTAATCCCAACAAGGCACCATAGATTTATGGAGGGGTAGTGGATAATCTCAGCAAGTCTGCCCCTTTATTTCTGAAGCTCGGGCTGGTTTCTGGCTGTGAACCCTTTTGTTTGTTTTTTTCAGCCTGAAACACCCTGTGTGCCTCTTGCTGGCTTGAACTTGGCTCCTTGACCTCCTGCCAACTTGAACTTTATTCTGCCACACTGTGATGGAACCAGCCTGTAGGTGCTCCAATTCTGACTCAGTTGGTCCCTCTCCAAGTTGGTCCCTACTGGCCAATTACCCTCTCCTGGGGGGATGTCTTAATCTGAATAACTCCCCAGACACTACAGTCCTCTGCATCCACTTCTCAGTTCCACTGATGTGTTTCTCTGTGGAGGCCTCTGGGGTCAGCGGTGGTCACTGTGCATCTGCAGGCTCAAGTTACCCTTCCCACAGAGTGAGTCAGGGCTCAGGGAGAAAGTGCCCCTTGTCACCTCCTTCTTCACTGTAGTCTCCTTTCGCCTTCCATGTGGGCTTCAGTTCTCACTTCATCCTTGCTAGGTTCTGGAGACTCACTTCCCTTCTTCTTTTCCTCACATTGCTATAATCTAGCATCTGGACACCAAATCCCAGAGGGGCTGTTTCCTTGCTGTTCACCACTCCACCATCTTCCTGGAAGTCCACACCTTAATTATTTTTACTTCTCCATCCCTCTTCATCCTCTGCCTTCCCCTCCTTCTGCATTTTACTTGTTTTTGTCATAATTTCAAATTCTGCATGTGTTAAATCTTAAATTATATTATTGTTTTTTATTTTTAACAGCATAAAGCTTTGTAAGTTTTGACATGTATATATGTAATCACCTGTAAGAAAAACATCACAGTGAGGATAAAAGCTTCTCCATGAGCTTTTCTACTGTCTTTTTCCTGTCCTTCTACATTTTTAAGCAATCACTATTCTGCTTAGTTTGCATTTTCTAGAAACATTAATAGAACCATACAGTACATGCATATATAAGCATTGTTAAATCTATTAATTTATTACTTTTCTTGTCTACATTTAGCAGCTTATTTACATATATGAGAGAGTAATACTAACTTTAAACAAAATGCTAGGCTAAATATAAAAAGGGATCTGCAAACACTGCATTAGCTTCTGCTGGCAGTCTGCAGCTGCACTTATTGAAGGAATTCAACCACCATCATTCTGATTAGAGACCCCTCTAAGCCACCCACTCCCAGCACAGTTGCATCTGGGAACTCATAACATTATCAGCTCTGCTATTGATAGTAGACACTATTCCCTGCACTTTCCCAGGCCTCATCCTTGGGCCACTATTATCACTTGTGCTCTCTCAAGTCTTGTTCTTGTCAGGTAGTCACAAACCCCTTTCAGTGAACTTCCCTATAAAAGGCCCCATAACCTGTATGAGAGTTGCTGGTCTGATCTCTGGTGCCAGAGCAGACCCTCTCAGGTTTGTTCTGAAATAAAATTGTCCGGTTGAGCTTGTACCTCTGTTTCTTCTTTTCCTAACATCTATAACTTACACCCATAAGAAGTTTCGATTCCCAGTCCCACTAGCCCTTCCAAAATGTGCCCTTCATTACTGAGAAAAACATGAAAAGAAAGCAGACTCAATGATGCAGATATGGTACTAAAAGACAAAGATATTAACATAGCTACAATTCCTATGTTGAGTTCCAGCAGAGAGTGCTGTGAGAAACAAAGTCTACCTCCCCAAGGTCCTCCAGGCCCTCCCAATGCCAGTGGGTCAGCCTAAGGATGGGGGCACCGTTTTCTTGCAGGCTCTTGGATGCCTTGCTGTGACTGCCCACTGGCTGGGCCCAGGCTTTGGAAGCATCCCTCACCCCACCTCCATGACCTAATGGCAGCAGTGGCCTTGGAGCCAGAACCCCTTGGACTGCAGGGTCTACTGGCCCAGCCCTGCTGGCCTAGGCAAAGCTCCTGCCAGCAGTTGAGGACCTGGTGCCCTGCAGTGCCTGCAGCATGGCATGGTGAGAATGGTGGCCTCCGGACTGCAGCAGAAGGCCATTACATCAAGGGCCAGGGAAGGCGGCTCTGAAAGCTCAGCTACTGTGGAGATCCTGCTCCCGGGGTGACTGCTGTGTCCCAGTTGGAGGAGACTGCACTTCCTTGAGACGAGGATGAATTAAGGCCTCACCAGCCCTAGAAGGTGAGGGAGCCCAGGCCCAGGATGGGTGGAACTACTGGCAAGCCATGGGTGGTTGCCAAAGAAAGAAATGTAAAGTAACATTCTGCATTTGGCTAATTAGAAATCCCCACCACCCTTTGGGAAGATTTACTGGCCATTTCTAGAAGTCCTGTGTATATAACATGAAAAAGCTGCTCTTGGGCAACTCACTTTCTAGTCCCTTTTCTGTCTCTCTTAGACTGAAGCTACCGTTCTCTCAATAAATTCTTCCTACTCTTAAAAAAAAAAAAAAAGATTCTCTCAACATTCAGACCGACCTTTTAAAAGAAAACTTGCTGCATGTGGACCATACAGATGTAAAGAGGTTGCCAACATATGAAAAGTAGTTATAAAAGCCACATCTTGGAAATGCCCATTTGTTTTAAAAAATGACATAAAAGAACGTTTTCTGAAAGTGACTTTTTGAAAGTCACTTAGACCATCTGGAGAAGTGACACTAGGAGTGATACTTGTTTATGTTTGTTCTGTGGGTTAGGGGTCACAGAGCAGAAGATAGAAAACAAGGTCCAGTACCAGACCGGTTACATGTAGAACACATTGTTCATATTGTAACCATTGTTTTCTGTGTGCATTTTAGTTCTCATTATTATACATATATATGTATAATTGACAATGCTAAGTACTTTATTGTAGTATCTATTGTTTTGAGATATTCTCAAGTGCCTGATACATGCTAAAAAGTAGTAATAGTAAAATAATGCACTTTGTAAATTTCCTTTTGTTAGAACTCACATGAAGTACTATTTTGTGGGAGGAGTAGGGAAACCCCTTCCTGAGTAGTACACAGTTTATGCACTGGTTCTCAGAAGAGAAGGAAATGCAGAGTGCTGTGCTAGTGCACTTATAGTGGGCAAGTAACCATTGTCCTTTATGCCTGTGCATTTTTACTTTGCTGTGTATTTAGGGTATGTAAAGGACCTTTTTGCTGTGTATGTAGGGTATGTATGAGAGCTTTTACAACATCTAGTCTTCCCAGATGTTAAAGAAGTTGCCAGTTTTGATAAAACTAGAGTTAGTAAACTAACAAATTTTGTATTAAAATTCCTAGGAAAGATTGTCTTCTGATATTTGAGCATTTTAGCCCACTGGATTAGTGGAGAAAGGAAAGGTTCTAGACTAGAATGCTCACATTTTCAAGATACTTTCAACTATTTGTTACATGTGTGTGGTTTAATCAAGACTGCTGAGTAAATATAATGGGCAAATTGAGTCCTTACTTGAAACATCTACTCTTATCTAGGTATTCAGAAGTGCCCAACGTATGTTAAATGTAGAGGTAGTAAAATATCACTTTGTAAATATCTTTTTGCAAAAGTTCATAGGAAATATTGTCTTTTGGGAATGGAATGGTTAAACCACTTATTGAGCAATATGGTACTGTCTGTACTTGTTCAGTGGTTTGGAGAAGGTAGGAAGGAAGCAATTGCAAAAGGTATTATGTTAGTGAGTTTGTACTTGAATATTTTGAGACATCATTTTTCTTTATGTTTTGTAGGTTTTGTTTTGTTGTGTATGTAGTGGACAAATAAGTAAAATTTTGCAACATCTATGCCCTAAATGTTAAAAAGGTTGCCAGTGTATGACAAAGTAGTAAAGTTAGCACATTTCATACATTTGGTGCTGAAATACACAGAAAAGGTTGTCCTCTGTAAATGAATTTTGTGTTTAGCCATCTCTAACATTACATATTCCTATATTTGTCTACTAGGTTGAAGTCAGAGAAAGAAGTGAGGCCAAAATGGTCATGTTTAGAAGATACCTCAGATTACAACCATTGCTATATGTGCCATTTTATTTATCAGTGCTGTATGATAGCAGACAAATTCTTATATGAATAATCTAGGTTGTGGGACCCACTGGCAAAGTACAGGCTGTGTGGGCTGATGTCCAGGTGCCACACGGGGTAGGCATGTCCTTGGTACAGCACAGTGTTGGTGAAACTCCCCAGATCCCAGTACCAGATGGACATGTCCTCAGAACAAGAGAGCAACCCTGAGCTGTTCACGAGGAAACGTGTGCTGTACACTGGTCCACAGTGTCCCCGCAGGATCTTCATCTCTGTGCCTGCGCTGTCCTCCTCATCCTCCTCTTCCTCCAGAGCATCACAAGCTGAGTGGATATGTGATGTGTCTACAAGGTGGGGCTCTGATTTCAACTTCTTGGACCGCAGACTCCAGAGTTTTATACAGGAGTTGTCAAACCCAGCAGCAAGCAGCTTGCTATCGGGGCAATTTCTGCAGTGTTCAGCAGCTGCTCCGTGTTGTAGAAGGCGTAGAAGCAGATGGTGGTGAGGGAGGGGGGCCATCCTTGACACATTTGATGCTCTCTCGTAAGACCTCCAGTGAGGCCTCATTCTGCAGAATTGGGGCTGGGCACATCCTAGGGCTCCAGGCCGCTGCTCTCACTGCGGGAGGAGCCACCACTGGCGTAGAGCTGGTAGTCTGTTCTTTTGGCAGGCTGCACATCCAGGTGGATATGTAAGGTGAAGACCTTGCAGAGGGCAGTGCTGTTGTCACTTTGGAAGTAGTGGATCAGGTAGTTGTAGCTGTCTTCCTGGAGAGGGACCATGTGCTTGTTATCTAGGAATCCACGAAGCTTGAAATTGGACAGGATGTCCTGGATGGTCTGAGTTGTCTGCAGCTGCTCAATAACATCCTTCTGGCTTGCATTCTGCAGGAACATTCCATGGAAGCGGCTATAGAAACTTTCCACTGTGCTTTTTGGGCTGCTCTGGACCAGGCTGAGATGGAGGTAGACAAACAGTGGGTGGAGAAAGGCATAACTTCATGGCTGTACTGGGAATCAGAATCAGTGAGAAAATTCCGCAGTTGTCCAAACTGTACTTCGTATTGCTGGGGTTCTGGTTGGCAAGGGGCAGCAGACACTATGTTGGCACTACCAGATGCTGACTGGACTGTGAGGTTGGCTGCCATCTTCTCAGGAGTCTGAGACAGACACAGGCCTTGCTTCAGTGGGCTATCTGAATCCACGTACTGCCAGCACTTGAGGTATCAGGATACTGCCATCTGGACGTGCTCGGTGCACACCCGTTTCGTGACTGAACATCATGGGCGGCTCCCGCTCCCGCTGCCACTGCCCATTGCAGGGCCTCGCTCCACTGCCGCTAGCCAGGCCTCCACGGCCCTCGCCCCACCATGCCCGTGGCTCTGGGCGGTCGTCCGAGGACCGCCTGACAGAGGGGCGTGCCGGCTAGGCCACAGAGGCCGACGCCACAGCCAGGTGCCATCTAGTCTTTCTAGATGTTTAAACTTCACACATGAAGAAGTCAAGGGCTAATATAACGTGCTTTAAGTATTTTTTTTTACTTCACAGGAATGGTTGTATTTAAAGAATGGAACTGTCAAACTTGATATCTTGGAGAGTATGTTGGCTCTCCATGTGGTGAAGGAGGGGAAGTAAGCAGAGGGAAGTTAAGTGAGTTCAGATTGCCCTGCCATTGTTCTATATCTACATTTTAGTCAATAGTCCTGGGTAATAAAGGATGTCTTACTGTCCAAATTATTTTAGAAGTAACAAAATAATCCCTATATAAATGTCTTTTGTTAGTTTTTAGGAATAATTGTCTTCTGGAAGTGACCTTTGTTAAACTCACCTCATAGAGCTAGATGTGGTCCTGAACTAAAGTCACTGAAGTGGTAAATAGAGAAAAGGTGGGTGAGGGTGGTAAGGGTTCTTTGTTAGTATCTCCATATGTGAAAGATGATTTTAGATTATAACCATAGGCCTGTGTATGTATTTCTGGTAAAGTACTTGGGCTTATTGTGTTCAAAGTTCATACTGTACTGCACAGCATCTAATCTTTATAGATGTCCTGAGGGGAAAACATATGATAAAAACTAGAGGTATTAAATTAGACAACATTTAAGTATCTTTTGCTTATAATTGATAGAAAAGATGCCTCTTGAACTTGGAATTTTTACAGCACCTCTAAGCAGTATTAGGACTTGTCATTAGACTGGCAGCAGAGGGGTAGAAATAAGCATACAAGGAGAGATGTGTGCAAAGTGTTCAGATTTACATTTTGGTGAGAGGAATTAAAGTGTGTCTTCTAGCTATACTGTGGAAATACGTTAATAATTCAGTGGGAGCATACTTTCTTAATAGTAGAGATATGATAACTCACAGACGCATGGGTCAGTGTACTCTGTTGCTTTATGTCTCATTTTAAATTTAACATTAAGGAAATGCAGTATTGTAATTTGAACTTTGCCAATACTTCTGTCTAGAGGCCTGTTGCCATTTCTTTTTCTTTGTTTTGTACTGGGGATCGAACTCAGGACCTTGTGAGGCAGGCGGTGGCACCACTGAGCTAAATTCCTAGCCCTGCTGCCATTTTTATCTTCAGTGAAAACTTTGTTTCCAACAAAGGTAGAATTACAATTTTTTTTCTAGCAGATTGAGTTGTTGTAGTGTGTTCTTGGTCATCAAAAATACTCTTGTAGGGCCGGGATTTACCTCAGTGGTTCCGCCACCTGATGCGCAAGCGCAAGGACCTGAGTTTGATCCCCAGTACCAAAAAAACAAACAAACAAAAATACT